CATATCGTTGAAAGCCCCAAAACCCCAAAACCCCAAAACCCCAATCGATTAAAATTGTTAAAAAGCAATGATAAAGTTAAAATAGAGTTAATGAAATCAAATAATATTTTAGATTCTAGTTGACATATGTCATTATTATTCAAATAAACTAATTCACTTATCTTATGATTAAATTTAAGATTTTGATTAGTCATCTGGTACTTAATGAATATTTTTACTACTGTCTTAAAACTGTTTCTTTTAAATGTCATTCCAACAGGAATATATAGTCTTGAATTTGTTAGCCTATTAACTAAACTGATTCATCATTAATGGTCTTTTCTTAATGTTTTGAGATTAAAGATTTTATCGCTTTGTGAAAAAATCATTATCAGCAGTATTATACAATTCATAAGTATAGTTACTACTAGAGATAGGCATTTCAAAGCCTCTTTGGAAATTACGACTAACTGGCTTAGAAAATGTTGTAGCTGTTGTAAGCCTGTTATTTTAAATTGAGGAATTTGAGGTACTGCCTGGAAACTTATGCATCAGAATGGGGTAGTCTTTCTTTGATTTTGATTTAGATTTTGATTTCTTACTTTTTATGTTTTCAATAACTTTATTTTCATCTTATATATTCAAATATGTTTACTTTGGATTTCTCAGTCTTATTGAATCAATATATTTAACCGAATTAGACCTGAGGTACATAGATTTTGTATTAGGTCTCGATGTTAAATCAATCTCTTTCTAAATTTCTACCTTTTTTATGTTCTTATTGAACTTCTCAAGAAGTTTTTAAACTTCTTATTTACTGTACTCAGCTGGCAAGTCCTATTATTAATTTTTACTAACGTCGTTCAAATCCTTGTTTAACTTAATAGCATTATCCTTGAAGTTTTATATAGGTATACTTTGTTTAGATATCTGTTAAAACTTCTATATTTTGAAACTTCCTTTCTAGTTGAAAAATATCCTCATTTTATTTCTCTATCTAGCAGAGTTATCAATTTACTTATCTTTTTAGTCTAACTTTTCAAAGTAACTGCTAAAAGCATTTAAATTATTATGCTTTTAATTTTTGTTAGAGGTAGGATATTGAGACTTAGTTTGAGATTTCTATTTAAGACTAGCTTTGATTTCTTCCTCTTCTTTTGAATCATAAGATGTTTGAAGACTGCTTATCAAGCTGATCTCAATTTCACTCTCATCATCATCGTCATTAATCTTTTGAATGTCCTTTATTCTATTGAAAAAGTTTGAAACCTAAATGTCTCTATAGTCATGCTTAGTATCAATCGCTTGTGGTATTCCTCCAAATTTATTCAACTCATCAATAGTTATTATTGCTCCTGGTTCTTCGAATCTTACAGGAATAGATTGAATTCTATTTCTACCCTAAGGAAAATGACTCAAGCCAGAGCCACTATTCCTCTTATTCGATGCTGAATTTCTACCCATGCCAATATTTTAGCCATTTATTCCTTGTCTCCTTTTGCCATTAAAATTTAAGCTAAATCGTTTTTATCCCATTACCCCATCATTGTCATCTAACTTTCCTAGCCTTTATCTTTTCAAGCCAAATTTATTGGATTTTTGATCTATTAGTTTTTATTTTAATAGATGAGATATTCCTAACTTTAGCTAATCCATTGCTGTTTTATCCATTTTTCTTATTGGTTCGCTATCAAGTCCTCCACAGCAAGTGCACTAACAGCTTTTTCTCCTATTCAAATAATGAGCATCAATGAAATTCTATTTTTCTTCAGCTTTTTCTTTATTTTCAAATTCATCAAGTTCCTCCTCTTTATCATCGTACTCAACTTAGATCCTGAAATCAACCATGCTTTTGGCATTTCTAAGTTTTTACTTTTTTATTTAATGATTGTGATTGCTATTGATTTAATCACTTATCTACTTAGAAATGCAATTTTCAAAATCAACATAGGTAAATTTCTCCCAATCTAGTTAGAAATGAGGATTAGTAGGGTCAAGCCCAGCTCTTTATATTTTTTTCTGAATCTTATCGATTGCTTCCACTGTCATACTTTTAAATATCAACTTGTCTTTTTAGTCCTTTATTTTTGATAATTCTCTTTTAGAATTAGATACTCCAATGACAGCATCAAAATTATTTTTTAAAGCCTTTTTTATTAAAAGTTTTTTGAATAGTATTTTCATATAATCGTTTTCTTCAACTTTCATCATTAAGTTTTTGTATTCCATTGATGATCTGCTTAATTTTCCATTGATTAACTCATTGACTAGTTTGCTTTTCTTAAAATCAGAGAGTTTAAAGATCTCTTCAAGTGTATTTTTTGGTTTCTCTTCTACTACATTGCTTCGTAATGAATTAGATTTTAGTAAACTTAATGACGATTTTTTATCCTCCATGGTCCGAAGATGGGTCTGCTATGTCCTATTATTTTTTTACCAAATAGGATTATTTTTTGCTTACTATGGAGCATTTTGACCTCTATTAATGTGACCACCTCCTCCATTATTTGTGATTGACCTTTTAAATGTTCTAATTTTTTCCTCAATAGCCCCTTACTAACCTTGAGATTGCTCCTCTTTCGCCTTTTTAATTGCCTCCTCAACATATCTCTAAAATTTATTGCTATATGGAGATAGGATACCCAAATAAATACTTTTCCACCCATTCTCACCTTCATCATAATTAATGCTTGGCATGTTGTCAAACATCATCCCATGATTTTTTACAGATTGCAATCTCTCCTTGATTTCATCTTTGACATGAATATGACTCTAATCGTTAAAACCATTGATGTTAAATAGATTAGTCTTAAATTCATTTCTCTTAATGAAGTAGGAAAATATCTGTCCAAAGGCTTTATTATTGCCTTTGGATTAACTAGACTGTGAGCTCTCTCTCTAGAGCTTTAAACCATGAGAGCTATTTTATCTTAAAAGTGGGGAGTTATGACCTCTTCTACTCAAACTACCATTGTTACCTCTTGGACTTATCTCTTTGAGTTTAAGTTAAAACCCTGTAGATACCTCTAAATTATTATTACAAAGCATAATATAGGCTTACCAATATTCTTCTTAGACAGTGATCTCTTAAGTGCGAATTAAGGTGAAATAGGCTGATTCCTAAAATTAATTTGCAATAGATTTGTATCCATTAATATACACTAATACTTTGATTCTAATTTATGATTTTTAGTATTAAAAATCCATTTCATTTGAGACATTTATAGTTTTTCAATTTATTCGCTTTTATCATAAATTGCTTACCAATTAATTATAATTGCCTCAAGGGGTTTTGGGGTTTTGGGGTTTTGGGG